CTAGGATTTGTTTGGTGTATCCTAGTGATAGAAAAATGCCAAAACCATTGTAGGTGCTGAAAAATATTAGATGAATGGGCTTGGCACCCATAGCGTAGTGGCTGTGGTGCTGGCCACATACACCAAGGCTGGAGGGTTCAAACTCAGCCTGGGCCAGCTAAACAATGACAATTGCAACAAAAAAATAGCTGGGTGTTGTGGCTGCGCATCTGTAGTCCCAGCTACTTGGGAGGCTGGAGCAAGAGAATCGTGTAAGCCCAAGAGTTTGAGGTTGCTGTGAGCTGTGATGCTACAGCACTTCACTGAGGGCAACATAGTGAGACTCTGTCTTAAAAAAAAAAAAAGTTAAAAAAACATTGGATGAATGAATAAATTTTACAATGCCTCCTCTAATATAAATATGTGATGGTACTTGTGTTGTATGCATCATTATCTCATTTTTTTTTTTTTTTGAAACAGGAGTCTCACTCTGTCACCCTGGGTAGAGTGCTGTGGCGTCATAGCTCACAGCAACCTCAAACTCATGGACTTGAGCAATCCTCTTGCCTCAGCATCCTGAGCATTTGGGAATACAGGCATGCACCACCACACCCAGCTAGTTTTTGTATTTTTTTAAGTAAAGATGGGTCTCACTCTTGCTCAGGCTGGTCTTGAACTCGAGAGCTCAAGCAATGCACCTGCCTTGGCCTCCCAGACTGTTTGGATTACAGACATGATCCACCATACCTGGCCTGTCATTATCTCATTTAATCCTCACAAGACCACAAAGGCAGATATTATAATTATTGTACTGACAAGAAGCTTAAACAACCAACTCAAAGTGATAAAAGTCCAACTGAAGTGTGACTTAAAAACTCTCTCAAGAGGTCAAGAGATCTGAATGAGAAATATTCAACAAAACTTGAGGAACTGATGCCATATATTCCTTAGACAGCATCTTTAGAGATGGCAGATGTTACCTTTTTTTTTGAGACAGAGTCTTACTATGTCACCCTTGGTACAATGCCATGGCATCACAGCTCACAGCAACCTCCAACTCTTAGGCTTAAGCCATTATCTGGTCTTAGCCTCCCAAATAGCTAGGGCTACAGGTGCCCGCCAAAATGCCTGGCTATTTTTTTTTTTTTGAGACAGAGCCTCAAGCTGTCACCCTGGGTAGGATGCCGTGGCATCACAGCTCACAACAACCTCTAACTCCTGGGCTCAAGCGAGTCTCTTGCCTCTGTCTCCCAAGTAGCTGGGACTACAGATGCCCGCCACAATGCCTGGCTATTTTTTGGTTGCAGCCATCATTGTTGTTTGGTGGACCCAGGCTGGATTCGAACCCACCAGCTCAAGTGTATGTGGCTGGTGCCTTAGCCACTTGAGCCACAGGCACCAAGCCCCGGCTATTTTTTGTTTGTAGTTTTCATTGTTGTTTGGCAGGCCTGGGTTGGATTCGAACTCACCAGCTCCAGTGTGTGTGGCTGGTGCCCTAACCACTGAGCTACAGGTGCTGAGCCAGATGTTACCTTTATTATCCAACAAAAATGCAGCCTGAGGGAAACAATGCAAAGTTTTAATACTAAACCAACAAATTGTACAGCCTAAGTTGTTTATCTTGTTAGAGCCGACATTTTCTCATTGAGAAAATGGGGACAGTTGTGTTTGACCTAGAATTCAGGACACATGACTCCCCTAATTCTGGGCCATGCTGCACTAGCCAATTCTGTCTCTAGGAGAGTTATTTCCTTAGCACAATGCAGCTTGAAATTGTCTATAAAAGCCTCTGTAATCTGAGAGGAGAATCAATGTAGTCTTCTTGGCATCTGGGAGCAAAAGCACCTACATAAAAGGAATTTTTTTTTTCAGTTTGTTTGTTATGTTCTAATAGCTATGTATACTTTGAGTAATATGTTTTTCTGTGTTTACAATGAGCCATCAGTCTGTGAAAGAAAGTGTGATGGAAAAAACTTGGCTTTTATTTAACTTCCAGACCCAATTTGACTCTCCACTCTCTTCCCTGTTGGCAAATGACTTCAGGCAAGTTAATCCACCTCTCAGAACCTTTCCTTCCTCACTGTTGAGACAGCATAAGCCAATATCTGCCATAGAAAAATACCACCCTTCTTTCTGCTTCAATTCTACACACACATTTGGAAATGAAATGAGAACCTTTGGTGGGGAGTGGTACCTCTGCAATCCTAGCACTCCAGGAGGCTAAACCATGTGGACTGCATGAGCTCAGGAGTTTGAGACTAGCCTAAGCAAGAGCAAGACCCTGTCTCCACTAAACATAGAAAAGTGAGCCAGGCATGGTGGTAGGCGCCTGTAGTACTAGCCTCTAAGGAGGCTGAGGCAGAAGTATCACCTTGAGCCCAAGGGGTTTGAGGTTGCTGAGAGCTATGACACTACGACACTCTTCCCAGGGCGACAGAGTGAGACTCTGCCTCAAAAAAAAAAAAAAAAAAAAAAAAATATATATATATATATAGTATAAAATTTATTAACTGAGCAAGTTGAAACCAAAAACCTAGCTTACTTGGTACATCAGAAAAAAGCCATGGATCAAGTCTCTCTCAAGCACCAAATACAGAAGAGTTTTGACATGGACAAAGCTAAAATCTCAAACTTGATCTAAGGAGAGGAAGGTTGGGCTCTCAGACTGGGATTTCCACCCTCCAAAGCAGCGTATTTGAGGATGGCCTCATCACAATATCTTTAGACTAAGTCCTGTGACTCACAGGTGACTGAAAGAAGAAACCCAGATGAAGGTCCCATGTTCTGAAGGTTCCTAGCCCCGGCAGTTCCCTTCAACGCTTCAGAATCCAGGGCTTCCATTTTCCACTCTCACAATGAGGTAAAGGTCAAGGGAGTTTAGTACTAGAAAGCTAAAACTCTAGAGCAGAACTGTTTGGGTTTGAGTCCTGGTTCTGTCACTTACTAACTGGTGTGACTTGGCAAGTAATTTTAATCATTCTGTGTCTCACAATCACAGAATAGGTCCCACACAATTAAGCCCACAATCTTGGATACACATACATTATCACCCAATCATAAACACATACTGATCGCACAGTCACACCCATAATCCCACACCTATACACAGCCATGTTAGCACAAAGATAGATGGTCACACACACTCCAACAGAGACAATCACACAGCGCCATACCACACAGAGTTACACATCTTGTCACAATTACACTAAATTATATTTGTAGAGACAGATGGTCATGGTCACAGAATCACACTTGCTGTGACACACTTTCACACACATTTGTATCTGCAGAGACAAGTGGTTGAACATAATCACACACATTGACGGACACCACACAATGTCACAAACCCATACACAGTTATACTTTGGGAGGCAGTTTCACGCAAACATACATATTCACACAATTATTTCCCCAGAAACAGATGGTCAGTCACGCACAAGCACACACGGTGATAGACAAAAATCACATTCCGGCACACCTGCAACCTGTCACATAATCATACACAGTAACAAAGTAACGCACTGTCACATACACACAAACCTCCCTGGCGCCCGCCAAGTCCCCATCCCTGTCCCAGCCGGTCCACTTCCAACCCTGCCACGACCTCACGCTCTTGCCCGCGGCCCGGCCTACCTCACCTCCCAGCGCCGCAGGCTCTGCGAACGGGCCCCGAGACCGAACCCCGAGACGTCACCTCCCAGAATCCTCTGCGAGGTGGAGCGGGGTGAGGACATAGGCGTGCAGGACTTGGATCTCTGGGGGATCTTAAGTAGCGACATGGGGCTCCCCTTAGACTCCGCGAACCACGAGCCCCAGAATGCTTTGCGCCGCGGCCTTCTTTGCTGAACTACGTTTCCCAGAAGTCCCTATGGCCCGCCTACACTTCGCGCCTTCGCCACGGGAGCTGTCACAGGGCAGTTGGGTGGAGGAGGGCTGAGTGCGACCCGTGGCATTCGAGTGACCCGGAGCTGCTGTATGTGAGAAACCGGTGAGGCTACGCTCGTCGGCAACTGTGATCGAGCGCTTGCGCGGAGTATGTGTGTCTGTGTGTGACTTCGCTACACACCTTTACGCTTGTGCACCATGGGGGCGACGGCTGCTGTCAGTGCCGTTTCTGTATTTTAAAATCATATCCCGTGATTGTGGGTCGTTGTATGAGAGACTTGGCTGTGTCACGCCGAGAACGTGAGAGTGATTGTGGATGGATGAGAGAGACTGGCTGACATTGGGGGTTACTGTTTCTCTGTTCGTATCCCAAAGGTCACAGGTTATCTGCGAAAGGTGTCAGAGCTTCTTTCTTTGGTTTCTTCGCTTGAGTCTGAGAAAAGAGTCTCGGTGTTTTTCGTATATGTATCTGACGGTCTCCAGTCTAATCGTTCTCCTACCCCCACCTCCAGCCGTGAACGGGGTCAGTGATGTCCTTATTTTTATATCCCTTCTCTCCCTGCACCTAATGTGATAGCTTTAACAGAATGGTAGTTAGATTCCATTTGTATAAGGTTGCTCTTTTGCACCAAAGCCCTTGGTAATTTGGTAGCCAATACCCTTGTTGTGCCTCCTATTGTCGTTTCCATCTTTTTCACTTTACAACTTTAATTAGGGCCCAGCCTTGAGAAAACTATCCACAGTCAGGACAAGAATTTGCAGCCTTGAGAAAGTTCCAAGGAAAGCACTATTCTTCCCTATCCCCAGACCCTAAAGATCTGGTGTGAGTCAAGATACTGGTGAGTAGAGCTGTAAGTAGATTGCATTAATGTACACAGCTATTAAAAAAAAGAGAGAGAGTCCTATACCGAAGGAGTTTGGCTACTAGGGCAGAAATGATTGCTTTCTGCTCTGTGAAATTGGCCAGTTACTTTCAGAAGAAAGCAAGCAATTGTTTTTTTAAGGCTCTACAAACACATAAGGGTTCTTTATGATTTTCCTTTTTTGTTATAGCGACTCTAATAGGAAGTTTCATGGGAGACTGAGGCCATCTAATAATTATGATGGGTTTGATTTGTGTTTCCTTAATTACCAAGGTTGTTGAACATCCTTTCATGTGTTTCCTGGCCATTTGTATATATTCTGTGGAGAAATATCTACTCAAGATCTTTGCCTAATTTTGTTGCAGTTTGGCGGGGGCCGGGTTCGAACCTGCCACCCTCAGTATACGGCTTTAGCACCCTACTCCCTGAGCCACAGGCGCCACCTAACCTTTGCCTATTTTTAAATAAACTGTCTTTTAGTCTGAGTTTTAGAATTCCTTTTATTTATATATTTTTTTGAGACAGAACCTCTTCCACATATGAGAACATGCAGTATTTGTTTGTGTCTGGCTTATTTTGCTATAATGTTGTTCAAGATTATCTATGTTGCTGCAAATGACTTTGAGATCTACATTTTTCCCCCCTAAATTGGTAGCCAGTGACCCAAACACTGAACCTGATAATTGCCATTTTCACTTTAATTTGAAGTCTTGTGCCTCACACCTGTAATCCTAGCATTCTGGAAGGCAGAAGCAGGTGGCTCACTTGAGCTCAGGACTTTCAGATCTGCCTGAGCAAGAATGAGACCCTGTCTCTACTAAAAAATAGAAAAACTAGCCAGCCATTGTGCCTGTAGTCCCCAGCTACATGGGAGACTGAGGCCAGAGGATTGCTTGAGCCCGAGTTTGAGATTGCTGTTAACTACGCTGACATCATGGGACTCTACTCAAGGTGACAGAGTAAGACTCTGTCTCAAAAGAAAAAGAAATTGTACTATCACATTCTAAATGTTCATAGATGGCTTTTTCTGGCTTTTTAATATGGTTCTAAAGATCTATTTTAAATACTTAGGTTTGGATAAACATTTGTGTTATTGCAACAGTTTTTGTTTTTTTTGTTTTTTTTTTTTTTCGAGACAGACTCTCACTTTGTCACCCTTGGCAGAGTGCTGTGGCATCATAGCTCACAGGAACCTCAAACTCTTGGACTCAAGTGAGCCTCCCAAATAGCTGGGGACTTCAGACCACAATGCCCAACTATTTTGAGATGGGGTCTTGCTCTTGGCTCAGGCTAGTTCTGAACTCCTACGTTTAAGCAATCCACCTGCCTCAGCCTCCCAGAGTGCCAGGAATACAGGGGTAAGCCACCAAGCCCAACTTTCTAGCTCATTAGGAATTTTATTTTTCTAAATAAAATTCAGAATCAGTCAAGTTCCATGAAAAAAATTGGGACCCGATCCAGAATTCTAAGTTAATTTGTGGGACTCTGTTCTCCTTTTGAAACTAGCATTCCCAATCAGAAAAAAATAAATAAATAAAATATGTGTTTTACAATGGTTGGAAAGATTTAAACTCAAGAATTCCCTGTGGAATGTTGTATTCAAAGAAAAATAGTAATTTCATTTTCTATTTCTGCATAATATATGTGTTCTTCATATGAGTACATAGTATACTTCTAGTCTACAATGCATCAGTCAATAAAAAGCATCTTCAGTATAGATTCAACCTGGAAACCAGAGAAACTCCCAGGAGACAGGCAAAGGTATTTTTAAAGACAAATACTTCTTCCCAAACCTTAGAGCTAGAATATTTACAGTCTTTCTCAACAGTCATCCTGTTATACAGTAAAACCCTCTTCTAGTCATGCTCTATCCCCTGCTCTATCTCCGGGAATTCACCATTCCCCAAAGTATCCCTGAGGCTGACTCTGCAGGGTCATGGTTTGGGGAACCAAGATTAAATCAGCCTCTATGTCTGCCAAGTCTCTTGTGCCAGGTTACAAGGTCAGACATCAAAAGACAAGGTCTAGTATTGTTATTTCTATACATCCATAGTACTTTGAAAGCAGAGTTTAAGTACACTTGGAAGTAGTCTTTGTTCCCTAATTTTAGCCTACTTAAATGTATTCCCTCCATCAAGTTACCTGACCTTCCACTACTCACCATACCCACTTGAGAAGCCCTGAAAATGGGCCAGCAATTCTCCCTCAGCTGCACTGAAGACACTACAGTAACAGTCTCATGCACACTATCACACATGTATCTCCACTTTGCTGACAATGGCTGACTAAAAGCCACAGCCTTCTGTGTGTTCTCTTGTGTCTATTGAAGGGTGACTCTTGGCTAAAGGATTCACTACATTCCTTGTACACACAGTTTGTGTCCTGAGTGTGTCTGCTGATGTTTGATGAGGTTTGACTTCCGAGTAAAGCACCGCCTACACTTTCTGCAAATATAAGGCTTTTCTCCGGAGTGTGTCCTTTGGTGTCTAATAAGGTGTGACTGCCAGCTAAAGCTTTGCCCACACTCCTGGCACACATGAGGCTTCCCCCCTGAGTGTGCCCTCTGGTGTCTAATGAGAGTTAAATTATTACAAAAGCGTTGCCCACACTCCCTGCACACATAGGCACCTGAGTGTGCCCTCTTGTGCCTAAATAGGTTTGTCTTGTGCCTGAACCTTCTTCCACACTCCTTGCACATGAAAGGCTTTTCCCCTGAATGTGTCCTCTGGTGTGAGATGAGGATTGACTTATCATTAAAGCCTCGCCCACATTCCCTGCATACAAAGGGCTTCTCCCCTGAGTGTGTCCTCTGGTGTATGGTGAGGGTAGATTTCTGGGTAAACCCTCGCCCACACTCTGTGCATACAAATGGCTTCTCCTCTGAGTGTGTCCTCTGGTGTGTGATGAGGGTAGATTTCTGGGTAAACCCTCGCCCACACTGTGTGCATACAAATGGCTTCTCTCCTAAGTGTGATCTCTGGTGTTTGTTAAGGTTTGACTTCTGACTAAAGCATTGCCCACACTTCAGGCACACATAAGGTTTAACCCCTGAGTGTATTCTCTGGTGTGTCTTGAGGTTTGATTTCCAGCTAAAGTGACGCCCACATTCTGTGCATACATAAGGCTTCTCTCCTGTGTGTGTCCTTAAGTGTCTGATGAGGCGTGACTTCTGGCTAAAGGATTGCTCACACTCCCTGCAGACATAAGGCTTCTCTCCAGAATGTGTCCTCTTATGTCTAATGAGGTATGAATACTGGCGAAAGCCACGCCCACATTCCCTGCAAATATAAGGCTTCTCCCCAGTGTGTGCCCTCTCATGTGTGATGAGGTTTGACTTCAGGCTAAAGCTCTGCCCACATTCCTTGCACACATAAGGCTTGACCCCTGAGTGTGTCTGCTGATGTGTGAAGAGGTTTAACTTCCAAGTAAAGCCTCGTCCACAATCCTTGCACACATGTGGTTTCTCCCCTGAATGTGTCCTCTGGTGTGTGATGAGGTTTGACTTCCAGGTAAAGCCTCGCCCACATTCCTTGCACACATAAGGCTTTTCGCCAGAGTGTGTCCTTGGGTTTTTGATGAGGATTGACATACTGCTGAAGCTCTGTCCCCACTCAGTGGACATGTAAGTTGTCTCCCATGTGTATGTCTTCTGGAGGCCAAGAAGTTTTGAGTTTTTGATAAAGCCTTGCCCAAACTCTTCATATTTGATTGCTCCAAATCCTGAGACTTCCAAACCATGCAATCCTTTGTCTGTTTCCTCAAGGTCTGCCTTCCGTTCTGGACTGGGCGCTATATCCACCACTGTGTTGTCTTCCTTGAGCCCTAGTAGCTGTTCTTCAGGTGGGCTGGAGAATGCCTTTGAAGGGTCACCTTTGCTCACGCTCCCAAACAGGGATTTAGAGTTCTCTCTCTTTTGAATTTCTGCTTTCTCATTCAAGCACAAATGATCAAGAAATTGATCCTGCAGTTGTTTCTGATCTTCTAGATAATGTCTTCCTGGACACACAGGACTTCCTGCACATAAACTTGAGAACAGCTGAGGGAGATGACTCAGCCACACATGCTGGCTGAGGGCTTGCTGAGTGGAGAATATCAGAGGGCAGGAGGGACAAGGTTGCGTTTCTAGCGTTGATCCTACTGAAGAAAGAACATTTTTAGAGGGGTTATAAGTAGAGCTGCCTAGGCCATTCTGCTTTGCCCATTGGTCATTTATGATATATTTACATCACAAGCTATCTCCCACCCAGACATCCTTTCTGATGCCTTTTATTAGTTTCAGTTCATGCATTACATTTTCTATTACAGGAGCTGGCAAATGCACCTGACAGACCAAATTCAGCCTGCAGTCTGTTTTTGTATGGCCTGCCAGCTAAATTGTTTTGTTTACCTTTTTAAAAAGAAGAAGGAAAGGAGGCAAGAGGAGAGAGGGGGGTAGGTAAGGGAAAAAGGAAGGGGATTACTATATATGTCATAACATTTATCCATGGATAAACCTCAAAAACATTATGCTAAATAAAATAATCCAGATATAAAAGACTTTATATTTTAGAGCCAGGCACGATGGCACATGCCTGTAATCCTAGCACTGTGTGAGGCCCGGGCGGGCAGACTGCCTGAGCTCAGGAGTTCAAGACCAGCCTGAGCAAGAGTGAGACTCCATCTCTAAAAAACAGCGGGGCATTGTGGCAGATGCCTGTAGTCCCAGCTACTCAGGAGGCAAAAGACTTTATATTTTGTAATGTCATTTATAGAAAATGTCCAGAAACAGCTAATCTATATAGAATAAGCAAATTGATGGTTTCCTGCGCTCTAATGGGAGGAAGGATGAATGCATACAGATGGACATAAGAGAACTATCTGGATAGAAATGTTCTAAAGTTATAGGGAGTTAATATAAGTTTATTAACAATAATTGAACTTGGGCGGTGCCTATAGCTCACTTACACCAAGGCTGGCGGGTTCAAACCCAGCCTGAGCCAACTAAAACAACAATGACAACTGCAACAAACAAATAGCCAGGTGTTGTGGTGGGCGCCTATATTCCCAACTACTTGGGAAGCTGAGGCAAGAGAACTGCTTGAACCTAAGAGTTTGAGGTTGCTGTGAGCTGTGACACCATGGCACTCTACCCAGGGCAACAGCTTGAGACTCTGTCTCAAAAAAAAATAATAATAATAATAATTGAACTACACACTTAAGTAAATCTTATAGCATGTAAATTATGCCTCAATAAAGCTCTTTAGGCTAGGTGAGGTGGTAGAGGTCAAGGCAGGTGGATCGCTTGAGCTCAGGAGTTTGAGCCCAGCCTAAGCAAAAGCAAGACCCTATCTCTACTACAAATAGAAAAACTACCCAGGTGTTTTGTTAGGTACCTGTACTCTCAGCTACTTGGGAGGCTGAGGCAGGAGGATCTCTTGAGCCCAAGAGTTTGAAGTTGCTATGAGCTATGATACCATGGCATTGTAGCATGGAGTAAAAGAGTGAGATTCTGTTACCAAAAAAAAAGAAGATAGAACTCTATCAACAATTACATTGAGTGTTAATACACTAACACTCCAATCAAAATATATAGATTAGAGAGCGCCTGTGGCTCAGTGAGTAGGGCACCGGCCCCATATACCAAGGGTGATGAGTTCCAACCCAGCCCTGGCCAAACTGCAACAAAAAATAGCCAGGCATTGTGGCGGGCGCCTGTAGTCCCAGCTACTTGGGAGGCTGAAGCAAGAGAATTGCCTAAGCCGAAGAGCTGGAGGTTGCTGTGAGCTGTGACGCCACAGCACTCTACCAAGGGTGACAGAGTGGAACTCTGTCTCTAAAAAAATATAGAGATAGATAGTTAGATAGATAGAACCAACTATATACTGTCTGTAAGAGACTCATTTTAAATACAAAGACAAATAAAAAGCTTGAAATGAAAAGAATGGACAAATGTATGCCATGCAAAGAGTAAACATAAATAAGCTAGAATGGGGCTTGGCATCTGTAGCTCAATGGCTAAGGCACCAGCCACATACACCAGAGCTGGCAGGTTTGAACCCAGCCCAGGCCTGCCAAACAACAATGACAACTACAACCAAAGAATAGCCAGGCATTGTGGTGGGTGCCTGAAGTCCCAGTACTTGGGAAGCTGAAGCAAGAGGATCACTTGAGCCCGAGAGTTTGAGGTTGCTGTGAGCTATGATGCCACAGCACTCTACCCAGATCAACAGAATGAGACTCTGTCTCAAATAGGGAAAAAAAAAAAAAAAAAAAAAAGAAGTTAGATTAAAAGAGAAAATTAAGCCTAAAGACAATTGAAGGGGGAAAACAAGATAAAACTGAAAATCACTTAAATAGGAAATAGATGAATAATACAGAAAATCAATGAAACCAAAACAGCAATCTAGATGATTGAAGGATCCATATATATGAAGTAAAGAGTAAAACTATGCATGGGAATTATAAATCCCCAATATTGAAAAACAGTTCAATATTGTGCAGGGGCCTGGGGAGGGCTCTGGGGAGGTATAAAATACAATCTGGGAAGGGGAAATGAAGGCTTCAACTGTTTAGGTAATGTTTTACTTCTTAACTTGGGGTGTGGACATATGAGTATTCATTTTATTATTATCTTAGCTTGCTATTAATCTTAAGTATGTAATAATTTTTTTAATTATGGAAATTGGAGAGGTAGAGATAATCAGTTAATCTTAGCATAAGAGAAATTGGAAAGTATCCAGAGGATGGCAGATGTAATGCTCATGAAGTACGTATAGTTTTTAAGATCAGGAGGAGAGAAAGAAAGCCATGAATGGGGAAAGGCTAAGCATGATGGAGAAGGCAAGACAAAGGAGGAAGGAAACCTTCTTGGTAGACGGAAGAGACAACGAAACCAGGGAAGTCCCTGCCTCAACTGAAAATAATATTCCGTCCCTGCCAGGCAGTCTTACCAGTGACCCAGGAAGCCTGGAGAAGAGCTTCTTTCCAGGACCAGAGAGATGCCTCCTCCTTCCCTATCTGCCAAGCTGGACACTATCCAGTCTACCCTGTGCTCATGCTCACCTGGATGGATGTCCAGTAGACACTTTCTCTCCTCTCTGCAGGGCTCCTCTCCTTGCTCTAGCTGAGTAATGAGTTTTGGTTTAGAAAATGGAATTCCTGTTCATAGGGAAGAAAACAAGGAGATTTTTGGTTATGGGCTCAAGAGGCAATTCTAGAACTCAGAGCACTAATGGATAGGGAAAGAGAGGAAGGGTAAAAACATATTAATGGGTACTATGAATACCATTTTTGGGCTACAGGCATACCTTTAGCTGAGTCTCAAGCATTACAAAAGTGATCCAAGTAACCTAAAACATTTATAACCCCTTAGTATTTTGAAATTTAAAAAATTAGCAGCTTCTTATAAACATATATAATATGTATACAGGGTCTCTATAAAGTTCATATGCAATTGCACATGAATTTTATGAATACCCTATATAATAGGGGTGCATGTGTGTGTGTCTGTGTATTAAAAATGGGTGAGGAAATCCAGAGGGTACAAAAGACCTATGAATAGTTATCTTTCTGAAGTAGAAGAGCTGGATAAGGAAAGGTGATTCCAATCAGAAAGACAGCATATTAACACTTGGTAGATGAAGTCTTCTGGGTTTTGAGCAAGAAAAAGTAAAAAGAAAGCCGCAGCCTTGGGAAAGAGGCCTGGAAACAATATTATACATAATATCAATAAACCAATCTACCTGGTTTGAAATCTAATAAATCCATATTTCCCAGAAGACAAAGTAACTTATTGTTTTTAAGCCCAACTCTAAGGCAGAGGTGCTCCATCAGTAGGATGAGTGGCAAATACCTTGTGGGGAAAACTAAGTGCTAAGGGAAGCTGTTCTTACCCAGTGAGACCAGGTGGTTATAGGTCTCCAGCATCACTTCCCTGTGCAGGGTCCTCTGAGCAGGGCTCAACAATTTCCACTCCTGCTGGGTGAAGTCCACAGCCACATCCCTGAATGCCACGAACACCTTTAACACAAAACACACCCCTGCTCATCCAGGAGTCTGCCTTTCCTACAGCTTAGAATGAGAATCAAAGGCTTCCCTGAGCAAGGTAGGGAAGATTTCTAGACCCTACTTTGGATTGTGACCTTGTTGCCCAGGTGTCAAATGCCATTATTCCCTTATCTCTCTGTCCAGCCAGTGTCATCTATGCACCTATGCCTATCAAAATCCCAGCTAGCTGCTATGAAGCATAACAGCAAAACAAAATAAAAGCTCCTACACATAGGGAGCCTTAAAACTAGGCAGGGAGGCTAGGCGCCTGTGGCTCAAGCGGCTAAGGCGCCAGCCACATACACCTAAGGTGGCGGGTTCGAATCCCCAGCCTGGGCCTGCCAAACAACAATGATGGCTGCAACCAAAAAATGGCCGGTCGTTGTGGCGGGTGCCTGTAGTCCCAGCTACTTGGGAGGCTGAGGCAGGAGACTCGCTTGAGCCCAGGAGTTGGAGGTTGCTGTGAGCGTGATGCCATGGCACTCTACCCAGGGGGATGGCTTGAGGCTCCGTCTCAAAAAAAAAAAAAAAAAAAAAAACTAGGCAGGGAGAACTGAGTGTGGTGGCTCATGCCTATAATCCTAGAACTCTGGGAGGCCAAGCTCATTGCTTGAGCTCAGGAGTTTGAGACCAGCCTGAGGAAAAAACGAGACCCGTCTCTACTAAAACTAGAAAAAGTAGCCAGGCACGGTGGCTGGCACCTGTAGTCCCAACTACTTTGGGAGGCTGAGGCAAGAGGATTGCTCAAGTCCAAGAGTTTGAGGCTGCTGTAAGCTATGATTCCACGGCACTCAACCCAGGGCGACAGAGTGACACTCTGTCTCAAAACAAACAGAACTAGGCAGGGAGAAGAGGACGACATCTCACACACACAATTGAACAGCAGCAAATAATCATCTTGCTGAGTTTGAAAAATGTCAGAAAACTCTTTGGTCTAAGTATTTATGTTCTAATTGAAGTAGCCAAGCCTGGGGGTGGGGGTGGCAAATAACCACCAATGAGTATACTTCATACAGCAAGATTCACCCCTTCCTCTACCTCACACTGCCACTTGCCTGCTCAGGCTTAAGAAGAGAAAGTAGATGGTGGTGAAAAGAGTGGGCTGAAATCACACTGTTGGGATTTGGAACCCATCTCTGTCTCCTGCTAGTGTAATCTCTGGCAAATTGGTTAGCTACCAGCACGTCAGTTTCTCCTTCTATGATAAGAGAATGACAGTGTTTATCTCATAGGGTGGTGAGGATGAGTTGATAATTATTAATATGTGTGTAAAGGTCTCAAACACCTGCCTGCTGCTACACACCACACATGCTCAGGGAGGACTTCCCTGGCCCTTCTGTGTAAAATACTTTCCCCTCACTCGGTGTGTCTTGTTCCCTTCCCTGTTTTACTGTATTACTTTAACTCTAACACCTGTTATTCGATTTCATTCTGACTCCCACTAGACTGTAAGTCATGTGCATGGTTCACTGCTATGGTTCTAGTGTATAGAATGGAATTTGCACTAACAGTCAAATATTTTTAAATGACTGAAAATGATGTATTACTACTCTATCGACAAAGTTTCAAATGAACCTCTGCTACCTAATAAGCTGTACTGCAGAAGGTGAGAATATATAACGATCCTTGGTGCGGAAGTTTGCTGAGGTTTCCAGGTCCACGTGAGACTCAAAATCTAATTCTTGGATTCTTCCCAGCCCAACATTTATTTTGTACTTTTTTTTTTTTTTTTAGACAGAGTCTAAAGCTGTCGCCCTGGGTAGAGTACCAGGGCATCCTAGCTCACAGCAACCTCCAACTCTTGGGTTCAAGCGATCCTCTTACCTCAGTTTTATTTGTCTTTAATAGAGACAGGGTCTCGCTTGCTCAGGCTAGTCTCAAACTTGTGAGCTCAAGCAATCCACCTGCCTTGGCCTCCTAGAGTGCTAGGATTACAGGCCTGAGCCACCTTGCCCGACTACTTATTCTATCTTTTAAAACAGGGTACAACCTGCAGTCCATAACTTAGATTAGTTTGACCCACAGACTACTTTAAAACTTTGGTTCATATGAAATTATCAATTTATGGGTCCTGGTCAAATATATATAAATCTAACCATTCTGGGCTGTGCACTGCCACAGGACTACATTTGGCTGAAGGTGACTCACACTGGGGGCCACTAGTCAACCATGCTACTGACGGATTACCTTATCAGCTTCATTCTTTTAGGTGCAAGCCTTGTATCTTTGGTGATTTGATTTTGCCTCCCCTTCTGAGAATGCCATTCATCACTTAAGTGTATAACACTATGTATCTCAAACTAATTCCATCCTGTACCCTCCCCAGGGTTCTTACCCTCTTAGGGACCCTCCTCTAAATTTCCTATCCTCTACTAGCTTGACTGGCTAAGCTGCGAAATGGCCTTACGACTGATTCTACCAATACCACCACCCCATTATTTTAATAATTGTCCCCAAATCCAACCAGTTCCTATGTACTTAGTCACAAATGAAGAGATATTTGAGTGAGGGCTGTTGTTCTCATCCCTCATCTCTGACTATACTATTTAGAGATACTTAGGTGGTGTTTTAAATTATAGATTCCTACCACAAATCAATAAGATCAGACTCTTTGGGGATGGAACTTTAGTACTTTTAAAAGCTCATAAAAAATCCTAGCACTAGGCAGCACTTGTGGCTCAAAGGAGTAGGGTGCCGACCTCATATGCCAGAGGTGGTGGGTTCAAACCCAGCCCCAGCCAAGACCTACGCCTGTAATCCTAGCACTTGGGAGGCCAAGGCGGGTGGACTACCTGAGCTCACAGGTTCGAGACCAGCCTGAGCAAGAGTGAGACCCTCATCTCAAAAAACAAAACAAGTTTATGACCAACCTGAACAAGGAAAAAACCTATCTCTAAAAATAGCCCAGCGTTGTGGTGGGCACTTGGAGTCCCAGATACTTGGGAGGTTGAGGCAAGAGATTTGCTTGAGCCCAAGAGTTTGAGGTTGCATGGCACTCAATCCCTGGGCAACTGAGAAAAAATTAAAAAAGAAACTCATGGCTCGGCACCTGTGGCTCAAGTGGCTAAGGTACTAGCCACATATACCTGAGCTGGCGGGTCTGAATCCAGCCTGGGCCCACCAAACAACGATAGCTGCAACCAAAAAATAGCTGGGCGTTGTGGCAGGCACCTGTGGTCCCAGCTACTTGGGAGGCAGAGGTAGGAGACTCGCTTGAGCCCAGAATTTGGAGGTTGCTGTGAGCTGTGATGCCACAGCACTCTACCTAGGGGGACAGCTTGAGGCTCTGTCTCAAAAAAAAGAAACTCATAAAAGTATAGTCATGATTGTGAATCACTGTGTCAGAGGAATTTTAAGAGGGAGAGGTCACTGTAGGATAGACAGTTGAATACAGATTCCATGAAAAGGAAGTATTCACTGTTGAATCTAGGTGGGTATATGAATATTCAATGTACAAGTCTATTTTTTTCTTTATGTTTAAAACTGTTCATAATTAAATGTTGGAGCGAAAAAAACTACTCTAGCACCTGCCTAGTCCTTGTGGTGATTTGACTTTATAATTACTTCTCAGAACATAAACACACACCCTCCTTGAAAATCCCCAGTGAAGGAGATACCTTAGAGAGCAACTTATGTTGTTTCAACAAATTTAACACAACTGATTATTCCTGCATCCCTGAAACAACTCATAGTTGTCTGAGAACCATGCATGTAGCAGGTTCTATAAACACTATGGATTTGGAGTGAAGCACCCTTTGGCAGTGTCACCAGCTACATATACCAAAGCTGGTGGGTTCGAACCCAGCCTGGGCCAGCTAAAACAACGACAATTATAATAAAAGAAATTAGCTGAGAGTTATGGCAGGTGCCTGTAGTCCCAGCTATTTGGGAGGCTGAGAGCTGTGATGCTAGGGCACTCTACCGAGGGTGACAGCTTGAGACTCTGTTTCAATTAAAAAAAAAAAAAATGGAGTTGAGCACTCCCATGATCCATTCCAAACCTTTCCCACTCAGTAGCAACACAGCTAGCAGCTTGGAGGACTAAAGCCAAGTCAGGGGGAGGCCCAACTGGTACTTATGTATAAAAGTAACCCATCCCTTGCCAGCTGAAAAAGATATATGACATATGCTACCAACAAGCCTGCTACAGGATTCTAGCAAAATTCTGCTTCATTTTTAAGATGGAGTAACAGGAAACCAGCATTTTCCTGTGCTCATAAACATGTGCACAGCTCTGAGGCAGCATAGCTTAGTGCCCTGGCTCTGTGTGCTCCCTGAACCTGCAGCACCAGCATCTCCTGGGAACTTGATAGACTCTCTGAATCAGAAATTCTGGGGGCACAGCCCAGAAATCTGTTGTTTTTTGGTTTTTGTTTTGTTTTATTTAAGACAGAGCTTCACTCTGTTGCCCCGGGTAGAGTAATGTGGCATCATTGCTCACAGCAACCTCAAACTCTTGGGCTTGAGCAATCCTCTTGCCTCAGCTTCCCCAGTAGCAGGGAATACAAGCACCCACCTCAACTCCCAGATACTTTTTCTATTTTTAGTAGAGATGGGTCCTGCTTTTGCTCAGGCTGGTCTCAAACTCCTGAGCTCAAGCAATCCACTTGCCTCGGCTTCTCAGAGTGCTAGGATTACAGGTGTGAGCCACCGCACCCAGCCTATAAATCTGCTTTAATAAGCCTTCCAAGTGATTGTAATACACACTATAGTCTAAGAACTACTCAGTGGCTAAAATGAAAACTCTGGAGACAAACTATGGTCAAATAACAGTTCTCTTCCCCCTACTTCGGGGTGGGGGGGGGAGGACTTTGCATCAGTAACTTAAAATCTCTTGTGTCTTAATTTCCCATAAAATTTCTTATGTCAAAGTGTCACCAGGTGAACTAAACAACCTCGCTACTGGCAAACATCCTCTGGCTCTAAAAGAAACCAGCCTAAATGAGGCTGATACTGTGGAGAACACAGTGAAG